TTCCGGACATCCCTATTTCTGCCCCATTGGTTTCTGCTCCGGCTTCATCGGAGGACACTTCCTCTGCTTCTATTCTAGGCTCCAGACTGGTTCTGAAAGAGCCCCAGACTTTAGTTAATCGTCGGCAAATAGTCATTACTCTTGAAGCCTCAATTGCACAAATTCAACACTTCGTAGCGTCTCAACAAGTCACCATTTCTGGCCTAGAAAAACTACGGGATGCTCAACTTACGGAAATTTCCCGCATGGAAGAAACTCATACCCGGATTCTGGCTGATGCTGGCACTGGTTCTACTGGTTCAGGGACTGAAGACGATGATGATGATTCGGTATCGGGCACCCCGTCTGCACGTTAAAAATAATCCACTATTATGATGTTCACCATCCTTACTTTGTCATTTATTTGGCAAAAAGGGGGAGTTTTTGGAGTAAGGGGGAGTATTCTTGGAGTATGAAGGTATTGGTTTTTGGAAGCTTTTAAGGTATAATTTTGGAAGTTTTGTTAAATTTTTATGGAAATAAAAGGATCATTATGTTAGGGGGAGTAGTAGTCTTTATGGTACTTTTTGATGATGGCATATGTATGGTATGTTTTTGAGCTACTACTCGCATGAACAAGTTTGATGGTAAAATCTTCCACTTTTACTTATGTTATGATCTGCTGCTTATTCGCTCCTACTATGTATGTTCTACTCGTGGTTGTGGTTGGATGCTTGAAGAAGTTTAAACAGGTATTTTGTTGACACGTGGTCCAAAAGGAATTAAGTTTTTTATTTTCTTTTCATATGCTTTGTTCAGTACCTATACTAAGGGCTATAAATAAAAACTAAACTGATTATGTTTAAATTTTTGCCCAAAGTATTTGATACTTGAGTTTTACCAAATAAAATGCCAAAGGGGGAGATTGTAAGTGTAAAATTATTCTACACGTTAAACCTTATTGGCTATTTTATTTAGTAGTGTTGTTATTAGAATTAATTAAGGGTTGTTAGTGTTAATCTTCCTTTGGACCACTTGATATCTATCAAAGTAATTTTGAGTGGACAATATGCATTGTCAAATGAAAAGAAAGTCAGCAACAGCGCGCAAAAGGAAGCTTTCAAACAAAGAGCATATGGCTGAGATTTATTCGAAAAAGAAGGGAGATAATATTAAGGATCAGAATGAGGTTTGAATATTTGCTATAAAAAGGAAGCTACACCAAAGAGGAAAGTTGCCAACTTTGAGACTACAATTCTGATTGCATACTTTCCTTACAAAGCTTCTTAATTTAAATCTGCTATGTTATTCAATTGTTAAGAAGAATTAATCTGGGATACTTGATCTGTACGTGGTACTGCTGAAGCATCTTGTGAAGATTGTTCGGGCATACGTGTTTCAGTCCTGAATAGGTGTTAGAAAGAGTGGTAGTGGTAAAGGCTAGAGGCCATTTATATTTACCTCGTGTAATACTCCTTTTGGTGAACATCTATAGTGGATTGGGCAGACGTGGGTTGCCCCGCAGACGTAGGAGAAGGAGCTCCGAACTGCGTAACAATTCTTTTGTGTTTTTACTTTACTTTATGCTTTCTGTCTTCGTTATTTATATTTGTTTAAACAAATTAAATTAATGAACGTAACTGGTGTATAACTTAAAAAACAAGTAAAAATACGTTACATCTTGCTTTCAAGACTCACGATGCAATTTCAATTCCGTTTGTGGGCTTAGACTCGTAGATTTGTTATCTAAGCCATTGGAATATGGACTACTCTATTACTATCTTTGGCTAAGATTAATGAGAGTGGAGTGACAGACGTGTCAACTCTGAAAACTTAGCTGTCAGCAATAGTATTAAAGATAATGAGTTAGTCATGCAATTTATTAGCATTTTGCTAATAGTTTCAGATCCCTACTTAAGGCATGCTTATAAGAATTTTAGGGATCATACATGATACATGGAACTTATTATGTGACTATGTTGTACGTACATTTATGTTGTCACTTCTATGTAATTTGGATGGTTTCTCCTATGGTTATGCGCTTGTTTATTTGAGAAACATCTATAAGGTTGGACCAAGAACAAATGTAGGGTTTATTCATAAAAGACCTAAGTTGGGAATCAAAATGCATGTGATGCATATGTGGTATTACTCACACTTTAATTTAGAGGGCATACCACTATGATTCATGTTTTTGATCTTCAACAAAGGTTGTGCTAATACTTGCGCCAAATGAAAAATTGTAACATTTTCCATTAATGTTGTACAAATGAAGTTGTGTAAGTTTATTAGGCCAAAATTAGCCATTGTGACAATAATTAGTTTTTGATAACTAATTACAATCAAGAATGAACATAAGGTTTATTCATTGAAGTTTTATTACCACATAAAGTATTCAGAGAACAAGTTACATTGTGATTATAAGTAGATACTACTCACATCAAGAGGAACTATCTCTATAATTAATGTTTTTGTTTCTTTGAGTTAATACTTGCACCAAGTGTGAGAATGTAACATTTTCCGTTGTAATAACACTAGCTATTAAGTGGTGCAAGTTAGTAGGCCATTTATGGCCATTATATTGTGGTTTGAAACAGAAGTTACGATTTCCGTTACTTAGCCTATAATGATGGCACGTAGGCTATTTATTTAAGCATGGTTCTCACACTGCTCCTGTTACGACCTTACAACTACACCATCTAGTTACTACAGGAGATTAGTGGTAGACAACAAACTTTAACCCATTGGAGTTCTTGAGGCAATGATTCAATGATTCAGTGAAGGTATCAACTATGGCTAAAGGTATGCTTGATCTTATGCTTCCGCTATGAGGTTAGATCATTACAAGTAATATTGTATATTTACTCTAACAGGTATGACAAAGAATCAAGTTTGCAAACTCAAGAAGTCCTTGTATGGCCTTAAAAACCTCCTCGAGTCTGGTTTGATAGATTCACCCAAAGGTGATTTTGAAGTTTGACTATAAACAAGGTCAGTCTGATCATACTCTGTTTGTTAAGAAATCTCATACATGAAAAATTGCAGTGTTTGTCAAAAGAATTATGTGGAAGAATTACAGAATTTGAACAAGTGTTTGTCAAAAGAATTTGAGGTTAAACATCTTGAAAATCTAAATTATTTCCTTGGGATGGAAGTGGCTAGATCAAGGCAAGGCATTATTGTATCTCAAGGGAAATACATTCTAGATCTTCTCAAGGAAACTAGCATGCTTGGGTGTAAGCCAGTTGATACTCCTATGGATAGTCAAAATAAACTTAGCACTGAGAGCGAAAGTGCATCTGTAGATAGTGGGAGATATCAACGACTTGTTGGACGCTTGATTTATCTTTCACACACTCGATCAGATATTGGTTTTGCAGTGTGTTGTGAGTCAATTCATGCACAGCCCTACAGAGAGACACATGGAGGCAGTCTATAGAATTCTTAGATACTTGAAGATGACACTAAGAAAAGACTTATTTTTCAAAAAGACATAAAATCGCAACATTAAGATGTACTCAGATGATGATTGGGCATGAAACATCACTGATAGATGGTAAACTTCTGAATATTGTTCTTTTGTTTGGGGTAATCTTGTTACATGGAGGAGTAAGAAGCAATCAATGGTAGCCAGAAGCAGTGCAGAAGTTGAGTATAGAGCACTAGCACAAGGAATTTGTGAAGGGATTTGGATAAAAAGGATTCTAGGTGAATTGGAACAAGTGAGTTCATCTCCTATACTAATGATGTGTGACAAAAAGGCAGCTATTAACATAACAAAAAATCCAAGCAACTATTAGCATAACAAAGAATCATGTTCATCATAATAGGACTAAACACGTTGAAATTGATCAACATTTCATCACAGAAAAAGTGACTAGTGAGACTATTAAATTGAACTACATTCCTACCAAGCAACAAACTCAGACATCCTCACAAAGGCTCTACCAACACCTAACTTTGAAAATTTAATTTGCAAGCTAGGATTACATGATATATATATATATATATATATATATATATATATATATATATATATATATATATATATATATATATATATATATATATATATATATATATATATATATATATATATATATATATATATATGGACGCACTCAGGTGCGAATAAGTGCCCAGGAAGGAAATGCGAACGAATCAGCGCGTGACACGTGTCCAGATCTAATAACTTAAAAAAAAACGCGATGGCATTTTCGTAAATAATTGAACATCGAAGTGCAAGTAAAATCTCTTATAAGTGCACCTATTTTCACCTATAAGTGCATGTAATTTTGCCTTGTTAGCATTCACTTTCCGCAACCATTCATGCACCTGGGTGTGCTTATAACTATATGTGCAACTATTTATAACTATAGGTGCAACTACTTATAACTATATGTGCACCTACTTTCACCTATAAGTGCATGTAATTTTGTCTTGTTAACATTCATTGATCTGAGTTCACTGGGTAGTAATACTCCTAAAAACCACTCGCAAACATTCATACACCTAGATGCAACTACTTATACCTATGTGTGCAACTACTTAGAACTATAGGTGCAACTACTTAGAACTATAAGTGCAACTAAGTATTGATGCTCAGTGTAAATTTTTACTTGCACCTATAATACATTTTACATGCACTTGTAATACATTTTACTTGCACTTCGATGTTCAATTATTTACGAAAATGCCACCGCATTTTTTTTAAAAATCAGTGTTTCTCATCCATTAGATCTGGACACATGGACGAACAGAATCCATTCCTATTTCGCGCCTGAGCGAGCCGTTCGCACCCGAGTGCAACTCTCTCTCTCTCTCTCTCTCTCTATATATATATATATATATATATATATATATATATATATATATATATATATATATATATATATATATATATATAACCCCACACTTGAGGGGAGTGTTGAATAGTATGGAATCAAAGTATTTTAAGAAAATATCTTAGGAATAATGGAGAGATTGAGGGTTATTTTCAATATCTCCTAGAAATCAACTTCTTGATTTTCAATTACCATTTTTTAAAGAAAGAATTAAACTAATTAGTTATTAGAGTAGCAATCACACCATCAACCATTATTCTAAGTAAGAATTTCATAATTTCTTCACTATCAATAGAGTACAAGTTGAATCTGGCAGATTAGCAGGGCAGTCTCAAAGTCTGAAGCTAAAATGGGCCATAAAGTCTTTAGCTTTTCAAAGATAAAATATAGTGTCTACTCCAAGAACACTTGAATCCTGTCTCCCATTGTATCCTTGAAATCTAACAACTGCTTCCCTCCCTCTTCAAAGCTCGTATCATCCAAAAGTGCTTTCAAGTTCACCCCCACTAGTGCTGCATACAGAAGAATATGCGAAACAAAATAAGAATATAAATGTCTATACAACTGCTAGTCTGCTACTGCGAAATGGATCATGGATGTAGAGAATACCTGGGACTATATTTTTTATTCCTTCCAAAAATCCAGCCTTAAAACAAAGGGATAAAAAGTGAGAAATGATTCATCAATAATTTAGTCTACTGGCAACTTGGCTGGCTAATTGTTAAATGTAACATGAGTTGATCATAAAGTTCCACCCCTTTTAAAGTTGACCATGATGCCATACAACATGGTAGGAGATTTAAACATTTCAAATGCACAAAAACTTGAAAATGTGCGAAAAACATTTATTACAAAATGAGGAACAACTTTATGACTTGAAGAAAGTCTTTTTATCATTTTCTTTTACTTTCAGAAAAGCAGTAGCAAATAGTAGTGTGACTTACAGGAATTCTTATGTCAAGTTTTTCAAATCCATCTCGTCCTGTAATTTTAACTCTCAACTTTCGGGACCAAATCCCTGAGAAAGATCCTCCTGAACTATCTCCATCGTAGGGATTATACACCTCAGGAGTTAATACTTCAACCACTGGATCTTGTGGTTTTTGACTTCGCACTTCAGTATCATCTTGTTCGCTGTTCTCCGATGGAGTGTAACCTGGTATTCAACAATGTAACTATGCAAATTCTCATGAAGTTTTTGTAAACTGAATGCATTCAGATGCAAAGAAAAAAAGTAAGCTCTCATTTTATTTGGACTAAAAGACTAAGTTTTTGCTTCCCATAAGCGATTAGATCAATGCATAATAATACTAATAATAATATTAATTTCATAATAAAATAATAATAAATAAATAAAAGGAAGAAGAAGAAAAGTTGTTTAAATAACAATATTTCTAAGACCCTACTAAGATTGGATAAAATGCAGACATGTGGCAAATGCATAGTGCATGCAGTTGTTCTAGCCCTTCTGGTGTACCCAATAACAATAACAAAAAGTGCAGTTGTTCTAATTGCAAGAAGAACACTAACCTTTTTGTGAAGAAGGCTGGCTGGTGCTGGTGGCATAGCGCCTCTCTTCTTCATAATAGGCATTAAAACCGAGTATATCTTTCATTTCTTCAAATGATGGCATGCTTCCAGGTGAAGGCAAACGACCACTTCTAATTGCTGTCAATGCATCCTGAAGATATCGAAGAAAATAGCATGGCAGCTTAATCTAGAAGTCATTCTGGTATGTGAATTTTCAGAAGTAAATGGAAGGAAAATGAATGTAGGATTTAGTTATTTAAGCCAATATTCGTGAAATAGATCAGATGCTTTGGAACGTGGCAAATAATAAAACTTCTCTTTTAAATCCTTCTATCTTGCTCTAACCTGCTGTGCTGCAATTAGATCCCGTTGGAAGCAAACTTGAAGGGTGGGACACCCCACAAAGGTTTCTCTGTTTCTTAAATCTATTTATTTGGTCGGAAGGCATGTTATGGAACCATTACGACAGGTGATAATCTCAGAAGAAGGAGAATCATATATGTCAACTGTTATTTATTTGGTTGTATAGATTCTTTAGATAGGCTTAAGCTTGTATACCTGACAAGTGCAGATTGCAAAAGGCCAAAAGCTATTGTGAAATTGCTTCTCAAGAGAAGTACAAGATGTTACCTGCATTGCACAGATGGATACCCCTAATAAGGAAAGCGGGTATGCCACAATTTTGAAACCAATATCCTCAAGTTCAACTGGTGTGAGTATCGGCGTTTTCCCTCCACCTTCAAGCATGTTGGCCTACAGAGCATATAAGAACTTTGTTAAGAAAGTTTATCAATGAAATCCCATGGCCGTGACCACGAGTAAGATTGTCAAGATTTATGAGAATGCAAGGTCATAAAGATGTTCCAGCTTACAAATTAGTACCCTATAATATTGTAAGCAATGTTGTAGAAGGCGCTAGGCGGCCGAGTATAATAATAAGAAAAACAGCATACCAAAAAAAAAAAAAAAAAAAAAAAAAAAAAAAAAGACACTCGGCCGAGTTGGACGAGTTGGGCGCCAAGTTGGCTGACTCGGGCACCTTGGCCGATTTTTGCAACAGTGATTGTAAGAGACTGACTAGTAGAATTACCGAATCACCTTTTAGTAGCAACAATCAGATTGAAGTGTGATGTTATCTGAGAAATATATATCTCTATCTTTGCAAACAATATAGCCAAAATATGAAACCAGGATTAAAGGTAAAGATCCTTGGTTTACTTGAGGTTGTAACTCGAAGTCCCAAAGCATGCAAATGCATTTTAGAAAATGCAATTGTGGCAGAAGATATGCTAGAATTGTAATGTGAAAAGAAGAATGACCACGGAAATCCCATTATAGAAAGGTAACATTTTTGCAGCAGTAGCTAACAAGAAATGTGGTAAAGCAAGCAAATACTTCTTTAACATTATTCTTCGAAAAATTTACTTCAAAAAATAGATCTTCATAAAAGGTTTCTCCTTTATACATCAAATTAAGAGAAGATTGAAATCATTGTTGTCACAATGCTGACTTTCTGGGCAAGGTGCCACCCGACCGCCTAGTCGCTAGGCAATGAGTGTGTGTGTGTGTGTGTGTGTGTGTGTGTATAATAAGCCACTAAGAAAGAAAGAAGAATGCAAAAAGAAAAAAGAATGGCCAGTTGGCCAAGAAGAAGGGTGAGACTCCGACGTCAACGGAAGGGTGAGGCTGGGAGGAGGGGAGTCAGATGCGTTTGGCGGTGAAAGTCGAGGCTGGGAGGGTTTTCACTTTTTAATCGACAAATTTTTATTTATTCACTTTTTTTTAATAACTCAGGTCGGAGCCAGGTTTTAGTTTGGGTTAGGCATCCAAGACGTCGCCTGGATGCCTAGGTGACACCCGAGCTCGTTATGCGTCCGGTCTCCACCGACCGGATACCTAGGCAGCGCCTTGACAACTATGATTGAAATACAAACTACTTTAGTAACATTGAGTGGTAGAAAAGAAGGATTCCAAAAAAGAATGACCATATTGTTTAACATAGGGGCATGACTAACTTTAAAAGTAGGAAGAACTACTTTTAAGATACGCAAAAAGGGCATACCATCTTTGGAACCTTTGGAGAAACTTCACAGAAAGATTTCATCTCTTCCTTTGATGCAAGGGCATCAATGAACAAAACATCCGCTCCAGCATCAGCAAAAGCCCGAGACCTCCAAAGTGATTCTTCAAAGGAAATTGCTTGACGTGAATCAGTACGTGCTACAATCACAATGTCGGCTCCACTCTCTGTCCGAGCATCAACGGCAGCTTTTATCCTCAGGATTGCTTCCTCTCTGGACACAACTTTCCTGCCAAGTGTATGACCACAAGCTTTTGGAGAAACCTACCATAGCCAGTAATAAAAGCATTTAGACTCTTAAACAGCTGAAAAGAAATATATCAAGGATTTACCATTAAGCTCTATAAGTTATGCAACCCTTGTCACAAATACCAACTAAACAATCTGCCCATTTCGCCCCCTTGGAGCTTCAGGTCACAAAAGGTAGCAGATTAGGACTTTTGCCTAAAATAAAAAAATGCTTCACTTTTGAAATCCAAACTTAATGTTCACTTTGAATTAACTAATATCACTTTATATTTGATAGGGTGTGCACAAGATAGTACAAACATAGAAGGACCACTATGCAGTTTAAACATATATAAGAAAAAAATTTCTCTAAAATCCAGGGAGGCTGGGACCCAGTCCCCCCAAAGCCCTGCCCTTGCCCCGAGATGATCTCCCAACTGCCGCATACAAACAATGCAAGTCTGAGAAGAAGCCTGCTTGTTGGCCAAGCAATGTCTACATGTGAATTTTTAAAGCCATACGGATCTTTGAATTTGGAACTAGAAAACCTTTCTGTAATAATCTCCGCCTATCTCTATATCATTATGGAAGCTTGGCTGGACAGATAATATGACTTCTCTAATTGGTTATGAAATATACAAGGGTGCACATTTTAAAATTTATGCCAATGCAACCAATAGGCAACATGAAAACTATTAGACAAAATTAATTAAGATGAAAACTACAAGACAGTTAAAGGCGCATTGCATCCAGTTACACAAAATCTCCTTATTGATGACAGCTTGTCATACAAAAAGCAAGCAGTAGAAAGAGAAGAAGCGTTACCTAAGAATGGAAGAAAGATCTTCATAAAGTACTACATGAGCTTTATAACAATACAAACCTGATCTTCAAGTAGTATTCCTGCATAGCCCGCTCTAATATACCCTTTGACAGTTCTCTTAACGTTCATGGCATTACCATACCCATTGTCTCCATCTCCAATTAAGGGTATGGAAACGGCTTCTGTAATTTCTTGTCCTTGAGCCACCATCTCACCATAAGAAATTAGCCCCACATCTGGCAATCCCAACTTAGCAGCCGATATTCCAAACCCTTATGAAAGCATGATAGTTTAGTATACTGCAGTATCTAGAAGTCATCCCAATATACATATGTATTTATGACTATAGGAGTAAGATAAGAGAGATCAAGGGATCAATTGATAAACTGACAGCTTCTAAATATATGATTCTGCAGGTCTTTTTAGTTAATAGTCTCGTCCACATCAAATATTAATTTTTCATTTTTGTTGTCAATGAAACAAAATGCATTGAACCATGATTAAGGTACTCTCACTCTCTCTCCCTCTGTTGGGTAAAGGGCTAAGTCCGATGGCTAGGAGATTGTTAGGCCTAGACTGGCGAAGGATCAAGTCCAGCATCTGTCCCTCGAAAATGTGGTGATAGTATATAAGATTAAAGTTGCGTCTTCGCTGTGAGCTATAACTTTTGGCATAGTGATAAGTGCTTGATCATAATAAGTGGTATCGAAGCCACTGTGCTGACAGGTTCTGAGAGAAAGAATTGTTGGGTGGATGCCAAGTTCAACACCCTGACCCTGCCTCGAAAATGTGGTGACAATATATAAAGAAACAAAATTCGCCTATCATTGTGAGCCATAGTTTTTGACGTAGTGGTAAAAGTTTGGTCCAATCACCCTCCAACCATCAAAGGCAATAAATGAACAAACTAATTATGTGACTGAAGTAAGTATATTCCATACAATGCACTAATGCTGCCCTAAACAAGAAAAGCAAAGCAAATAAGCGCTAACAGAAATCAGTGAGCTAAAGAGTAGTACCAGTAGTGAAGCCAAAATTGAAGCCAGCTCTCTCGACGAGCTTTGCACTGAGAGCATTGAAACAGGCGGGGCCCAGATAAATCCCAGGCGATTCTAGGATTTTCCGAAGAATCGTCGCCTTAGAGTCCTGCGGGTTGGCGATGGCTGAAATGGTTGGGACGGAGCTCCCGCCCACGTAGCCCTCCTTTTCAGTGTAAAATCTCCCATTTCGCCGTCCCCTGCCGTCGCCACCGCCATTGATTCTAATTCCGACCCCAGTGCTCTGCTGGTGAAGGGGCAGGGAGGAAAACTGCGTCCCAGCTTTGGAATTTGAAATAGGCGCAGAGCAGTTGCTTCTGGAGTGGATGCAACTTCCAGCGTTCATTGTTGCAGCCATTGCGTCTGCGTTCAGTTCAGGTGGATTGGAGTCAGGGGAAATGGTGCGAATTGCCAAATTATATACAGCTGCTATAGCATTAGCATATAGTATTGCTTCACCGAACTAAAGTTAATAACACATTTACTAAAATTCAAATTTATAATGCTATTTTGTATTATTAGATCATAAAATCATTAACACAAAACTTATAATAATTTATTTTAAACTACAAATAAATTATACTTGTCTTTGATAAAATATAAGAGTTTAAAACTAATAAGCTTATCTAATTGAAAAATTAACCAAAAGTTATAAGACAAAAATAAATGGAATTTGTTGTAAAATAAGACCTTCTTACCTTCTTGGTGAATCGTATAAATAATGCATTATTATATAATAAAGTAGAGAGAAAGCAAGATATATATATATATATATATATATATATATATATATATATATAAAAGAATCATTAACTATTTATTTTCATCCTTCAATCTAATATATATAGGATATATAATGTCCTAATAAAACATATAGGTCCATAGTCTAAAAGATTTTTTAAACAAAAAAAAATATAGTCATAACCAAATTTATTTATTTGCAAAATTTTCTTTGACATGATCAAATGAGAACAAGGTCTTCATGTAAAAATTTCCTTTGATGGAGGGTTTTAGTAAAAAAATAAATATTATGGGGTTAATTTTATAATTTTTGAAAAGTTTTAAGAGCGGAGTTCATTTTACAATTATTGCAAACTTGAAAGTTTAATAATGGTAAAGTCAAAAGCCTTTGATTTATAGGGTTTCTCTTCTCAGGTATTTTATACGGTCGCCGCCTCCGTGAAGCAAGCCAATCAAAGGCAACGTCCGATAGTCTTCCCTTGTTGCCATCTCCATCGCAGGCAGCGTCCGCCTTTACCGTTTTCTCCTCTATCTCCACCGCTACCAGTTGTTACTCCATTATTTTCACACTGTTGTTTTCCCTTTGCTTTGTTTTACTGGTTTAATTTTGGTTGCAGTTTGTGTTTTTCCTCTCGTTGTTTTGACGAGTTTTTTCCTCTCGTTTACTTCGCGAGTTCTTCTTCATAAAGCATGAAACTACAAAACTGGTCATGGCATATGTGAATCTCATCCTGGGTGACAAACATGACAATGAAAAAAAGACTCCTCTAAACTACTGTTGGAATTTTTAGCAAAAAATGGCATTTTTGAGTGATTATTTTGTGGTACAAATATATGTGGGATCCACTTCCGATTTGTGTCGGGTCAAAGTGGATTCGGGTTCTTCGTAGTGAGACGAAGAATTTGATATAATGTACACTCAAAATGGGTAATAAGTGAATGAGAAATTGATTCTCAAAGTGAACCTATTTGAGAGAAGTCAACAACTTAAAACTATTGTTTAGTGGCTAATTAAGATTAGCACTAATCTTGGTGCTAATTACTTAGCATTCACGTAGAATGCTTGTAATTTAGCTTTGGAAAAGGTTAAGTTGCAACAGGGTAATTAAGCTTTTGAAAGCTTGATTAGTGAATTGAGTTCGGTGGAGAAAGAACTCCTTTCGTTCTCCTTTTATAGGAGCAGCACGAGTCAATGCTATATGCATTGATTCGTGTTGCACCATTTCGGTGCTTGTGGACCACTCGGGTATGATTTTCGGTCCCAATTCGTTAAACCTTTGGGTTTGTACAAATTTCTCGATCCCTCAGATACTTTGAAACAGGTCATTATGATAGGTTTGAATTAATCGCGTATTAAGTTCGTGACCGTTGGTATTATTACAATAATAAGTACGACCGTTTCAAACGTTATTATCCAATTATTAAATTGGATTAATGTTGGTTTAACGTGTCATTTAGTGGGCTAAAAATTCCTCTCTTTCCTATAAAAACTAGGATGTTGGCGGAATGTTTTTTCACTCCGTTTTGAAAACTCTCAAAAACATTTTCCTTTGTTTTCTCTACTCTCAATTCGTTTACAAAGGAAAGAAATTTTGTCAAACATCTTCCGTAAAACATCGTAGTGCTCAGCTTGTGTTCTTGTTCGCCGGACTTTGGGTTTGAGTGCTCGAACGCCAAAGTCGTAATTCGTTTATCCTGGGAGATTGACGCTACAACGCTTCTAGCACCCTCGAGAGGTGGCAAATCGGTTTTAAGGAGTGTGTGTGTACACACAACTCGGATTTCTGCTTCTTCTTCTTCTTTTTCTTCTCGTTGGGTTAAAACCTCAGGTTAGAAACCCTATCTTGTTTATTTGTTCTTGGTTTCGTATCAAGTGTTGGGATTATTTTTTGATAAAATAAATCCCTATTTGGTTTATATATATATATATATATATATATATATATATATATATATATATATATATATATATATATATATATATATATATATATATATATATATAGGGTTGCCTTCACATGCAAACTCCCTTAAAATACAAACATGAGGACAAAATCTAGTCATAGGATGTGTGTAGATGGACGGATTAGATGTAGGGAAACAAATTAATTAGCAAATCTGATTTACTGGGAATAAGGGTAATTCTGGCAATGCAATCCTAATGTAATTATGGAATATAAATCATAAGTATATTACGCAAGAATTAGGGAGTTGTAAGTATTGTAGGAGTTGATTTGTATGATTACAGTGTGATTTTTTTTTTTTATAACTTAAACAAACGTGCATATGTGACTCTGTGCGTACAGGGTGTGGATGTTTATGAATACGAATTGCAAAATAGTAGAAAATATGTTCTCGGAATAACGACGTTGTGCGAAAGAGGTGTGGCTCTTATTCATCAGTATGCACACGGCATTGTGCGCATGCACATGCCGCGTGTGCAACCCAGAATAAAAATATGTGCGCTAGTTTAATGAAAATCTAGCATGCTGGCACTTTTACGAATTAAAAGTGTTGCCACTAACATATAGTGAAATGAATATTATTGCAATAATGATGTGTTAATCAACAGGGGAAGAGCAAAGCGGAGACGGAGTACCGGACTAAGACTCATTTCACCATACGGAACCAAACAGTGGTTAACTAGCTGCAGTCATGAAAACACCCTGCACATGTTGGGCAATGATTTGAAGCAATAGAAGATAAAATAGAATTCTATCAGGCATACACGACCATGGTGGGGTTTGATATCAGAAACAACACGATGCGGAAGACTAAGTAGTGGGAGGAGACTAAAGAGCAACAAAGAGAAAGCAGCTATGAAGAAGAAGAAAAAAGTAAGGACGTGCGCTACGTGTGACGGCACAGGGCATGACAACCGAAATTGTCTAGACATAATTGAACTATCAAAAGAATAGAATGTCATTGTTTTAATAGTAGGGATGGAAAACTGTTTTTAGAAATCGTATTAAATATACTGCGAACAGTTGGTTTATCAAATTTATTAATTCTTTTAGCTCGAAGACGTCCAACCCTATGCACACACAAGTACACAACTATGCACACGACACACTAGTGTGCACAAAGATGGATGCATTTTGTTGGGATTTGCACTAATATGAAATGTATGCACACAGTTTCACACCGACGTGCACACGACGGCGTAACGGCCAAAAAGGGTTTGGAACTCTAATAGCTACAGAATGGTAGTACTAGTAATAGACAATACAACGGAGTTATCCAGCGAGGTACACACACAGCTTGATAAGTGGTGGAGTGCACAAACACAAACACATCTATACACACAGATACACAACTGTGCACTTAAGATGGAGCATTTGGTTGGGGAACACGTATGCATACACTTGAATGCTGAGGTGCGCACGGGCTACGTAAAGGACTTACACGGATTGGATCTCCTATAGGTATGGAATGATAGTTGTATTAACCGTATTAATATAAATTAGAACGGTGTTACCAGGCATTGAGCACACACACATACACATGTGTGCACAAAAAGAACAAAGTAATATCTTGTTAATCGGTGGAATGCACACACACGAACACATCTATGCACACAGATACACAACTGTGAACTCAGAAGGGAGCATTTGTTAGAGGACACATATGTATACACTTGAATGCTGACGTGCAGACGGGCTGCGTAAAGGTCTTACAGGGATTGGATCTCCAATATGTATGGAATGATAGTCATATTAATCGTATTGATATAAATTAGAACAGTTTTATTGGGCATAGAGCACACACACCCAAAGAGAGCAAAATAATATCTTGTTAATCGGTGGAGTGCACACAGACGAACACATCTATGCACCCAGAAAAACAACTGCACACTCAGAGAAATAGATGTAAAATTATTAACTAAACTGAATACGGGGATGCTAAAATAGTAGCTATGAACTCTAGTGTGCATGTAAAGCGCTAGGGGGTGTGTACAGGCACAAATCTAGATCAAAAAACACGGCAAACTAAATATGTCTCCAAAACACCAAATAGGTTCAGTGGGAGGAATGATATAGTAAGTGCAACAAAATGACACCACCTACGCAATTCAAAAACCACCGAGGCTAGAATCAGTATAACTATCCCAAAAAACACCTAACATTATAATCCATACACATAAATGCACCACTACAGACCACCCGGGAGAAAAGAAAGAAACTGCGACGCCCGAGAGAGAGGTTCCTGCACCAATGCAAATTCAACTTGGATGTTGCAATTTCCTCATGTATTGAAACTTAAGCTGGTGGGGCTTAGCTGTGGTGGCTTTAGTAATGCCACAATCCAATTTGGACACCCCTTGACCTAGATATGACTCCATGTGCTGCATGAGATACACCCCACATTCGACCTTATTCTTCGAATCCCGACAACCCCATCTGCATGTGCTTCGCATCCAAATCCGCACTGATTATTGACTTGGCAGGGTCAATATTATTTAAGAATTCTGACAGCATGTCCTTCTGTAGTACACAAATAACAGCAAATCAAATGAAAACCACCAAAAAGTTAAAACATGAATTGCATAAACAACACCAGTAGGGACATGTGAATACAAACCAAATCTTCCGGAGAGTCGCCATATTTCCACTACTTATTAGTTGGGACTGTGGAATTGTAAATAATCTCATACCAGCCTTTGCGGAAATCAACATATAGAAGAAAAAAGTGTTCGTGTCGTAGAATAAGGAACATAACTTGCACAAACAACCAAAGTGTAACACTGTGAGCACAGGTCCAAACATAACTAACACACCCAATTCTGGTGTGCGCACTATCGCATACCGGGTGTGCATAGTAAGGATACCAATATACACAGCGTGTACTACCAAAAAATAACAAAATGTAAATTCCTTTAAAAATTCCAAACTGTAAAGGGCAATAAAATAACATGAAACCATAGTGCCACTTTATTCACTAGCTCCATTCCAATACAGTTAAACACACATTGGTGATTTAAAAACAAAACCACAAAAGTTTGGTGAATGTGAAATGGTGATTGAATGACATTAGAATCTTTTAGCAAACTGATTATTCAAACATAGTTAAGCACACATTTCAGTTCATAAAAAACAAAACTTAACAAGACAGAAAATTTTAAAACGAATACACACTGTGACACTGCCAAGATATTGCATCAACAAAAATGAACAAATTCAACAACAAATGCAAAATAGGAATCAATAAAAAATAAAACCCCAAACAAACTCAAACGGATTTTGAAAAAAAAAATTGAAACTGGCCAGAACCACCACCACCAGTAAATTGGCCCCAACCGCCACAGTAAACCCAAAAACAAAACCCACACCTCAACAACCCCCCCCCCCCCCACACCAAACTACCCCCAAAACCACACCACATCGCGAACCACACACCCACGACCCAGAAACCCCCACCAACAAAAACCCTAGGTACCAAATCCGGGCAAAAAACCCCAATACCCGCACCCCAACCCACAAAAACCAGCACCTACAAGCCAGCAAACACCAAAATCACCCCGATTATACCCAAAAAATGTAGAAAAACACAACCCCCCCCCCCCCCCCCCCCCCAAAAAAAAAAAAAAAAAGCACAAAAGACAAACTAACTAACCTCGATCGACAACCAGTGGACCCCGCCTCTTCACTGTGCCGCGGTCCCCCGACAACCATGGCTACGTGGAATTGAAGAACAGAGAAGCAAAGCCGTGGAAGAAACGCGTGATGCGGTGAAAGCCGACACCTCCTATGCACGAAGATAAAAGAAACGACATAATAGAAGGAAATCTCAACGTGCGCATGAAATTACATACTAAAATCTGTGTAGGATTTAATCACTAGTAAAATACCAAACCTACCCCCCTTAACATAAAAACCCATTAAATTAAAGAATTCACCACGCGGGAATCACAGCCATCAAAATGCAAGATCTGATGATCCAGATTAGTCCACATGTTTGTACTTTAAGAGGTGTTTTCACCTGAATGTAATTCTATATATATATATATATATATATATATATATATATATATATATATATATATATATATATATATATATATATATATATATATATATATATAAATCGGTCCTGGTGCGGGTGTGCGCCTCAGGTGCGGTTGTGCGGTTTAATCTGAGTCATTCATCACGCTTAAATCAACGTCCAAGATTATAAAAATTAAAATAATAAAAAAATACGGTGGCAATTTGGTAATTTTTGGATCTAGGTCAAAATTAAGCTGAGTGGTTTTGTGATTAAGGTGCGTGAGTTTTGTATATAAGGTGCGTGAGGGTTGTGCATAAGGTGCGTCAGTTTATAAACTTAGATGCGTGAAGTTAATACTTATAGTGCATCAGGTTAACACTTAATGTGCGTTGTTCTAACACTTAAGGTGCATGAGGTTTGTGATTAAAGTGCGTGAGGTTTGTGCTTAAGGTACGTGTGGTTTGTGCTTAAGGTGCGTGGGATTTGTACTTAAGGTGCGTGGAGTTAGTGATTTATGTTAGTAGTTGTTGAAACTTAAGGTGCGTGTGGTTTCTGCATAAGGTGCGTCAGTTTATAAACTAAGATGCGCGAAATTAATACTTAAAGTGCATCGGTTAACACTTAATGTGTGTTGTTCTAACACTTAAGGTGCATGTTTCTATCACTTAAAGTGAGCCATTTTTAGCTTATGCTTCTTTCTTCCATACACGCATTTTTTTTTTAATTTTCATTGATTTGAGCCGTTGATCTGAATTTGAAACGGCTCAGATCTAACCGCACGGGAAGCTATATATATATATATATATATATACACCAAGACTATATGGTCTAATGGTACCCGGGTTGAACTTCCATTTAGAAGGTTGTAGGTTGTGAGTTCAAGCTTCAGTGGAGGCGTTATTGGTTCTTTTATCTAACTCTATAATAAAGCAAGAAAATTTTGCCAATCATTGTTTCCCGCCCATTGGATAAAACGTCATTGTGCATTTTTATGCAATCATTGTTTCGCATATCCTATGTTAAACTACGCCGTTTTGCATAAATAAAAATGATATAATTGCCGGTTGTTTGAAGTTGTACGCGTGCCTATTGTCTTTTCGTTTTTGCCGTTTTCTTTATCACAACTCTTCGTATTCTGAAGTGAATCTAATTAAAAGAACACTAAAGTCCTTTCGTCTCAAGAAAACCATTTAATGTAGAATACTTGGTACTTTAAACAACATCATTATCATGCTCAGATAACCAATGGTTGAATAAACAAATGGTAACATAATATATATATATATATATATATATATATATATATATATATACACACACACAAAGAAGACGCAGAGTTGCATTCTGCAATTAATACATTTTGAAAATTTGCGTCTTTCCCATACACAATCGGCTGATCCTTCATTTGAAATATCCAACGCTTCAAGGTCTATAAATAATCATCTTATTGGTGTATAGTATTCTTGCCACTCGAAAAACTGATTGCTTACAACCCGAATATAATATCAGGAAGTTTAACAGAATGCCATCAATGTTCATACTTGTGAAGGACATTAAACCTCAACACCAACTCAGGGCAGTTCGTGTTAGAGCAGTCAGAGTATTCGAAGTGCCAGAGAAACGGGGAGAGGGTAACAGCAGTAAGAGTATGGAAGTACTAATGCATGATGAAGAGGTAATGCTGTCTATTTTTGTTCATTCATCTAACTGTTATCTATTTTTGTCCCTTCATATATCACTAATCTCTGTTTTTTTTTTCAGGGAAGCTATATTCATGCTAGCATTCTAAAAAATCATGTGGTGAAATATAGAGAGATATTCAAGGAAGGAAAACTGTATGAAATTAAGAATTTCATTGCTGCGACAAATTATTATGTGTACAAGATTACACAGCATGAATATATGCTGAAATTGAACTACAAGACAGAAGTGAAGGAGATAAACTCTTTAGGATTTCCTTTTAAAATGTTTCGATTAAAGAGTTTCAGTTCTTTAAAAGAGACTGCAGATGTGAACGACAAGGAACTTATTGGTACTATCTATTCATTTCTATCTATTTTTTTTAATATCCTATGTTAAGCTCAACTGCTAACAACTTAATGAAAAAATTTCATTTGCCAGATGTTATTGGTCGAGTAATTGAGATCTATAATCCTGTGGATAAAATTATAGGTGGAAAGGCAACGAAACTGATTGACTTTCAGATTGAGGATAATCTGTAAGTACTCATTTATTCCTGTTTTTTCCTATTAATGAAGTACTGATTGACTTCATTTGTTTCTGTTTTTTCCTATCAGTATTGACTTTATTATACTCACATAAGTTGGTTTGGTTTTTACTACTATCATGGCAGTGAGAACACACTGTCATGTACTCTATGGAATGAACATGTTGCATCACTCATGCCGTATTACAATTGTGATTCAATCGAACCACTTATTGTTGTGATTCAGTGCTGTCGTGCTAAGTTGGTTAGTGGTGAGTTTCTATCCTCCTTCCCATTCTAGCAGCTAATTACTCATTCCAGACAACTAATGTGTTTTTTTTTCCAGGTGAGGTTAGAATCACCAGCTCATATGATGCTACCAAGCTATGATTCAATGAAGATTTTGAGGAATTTCTAGAGTTCAAGTCCAAGTAAGTACACTAATGTAATTCTATAATGTTATTTAAATGAAGTAAAATATTGCATCACATTTTATATAAAAGGCATCAGATTTAATTGCTGGAAGTAATAAGCAGTAAGCCAGATTTAAAAGCTTAGTATGAAAGGCATCAGATTATAAGTTCATCACATGCCTATTTTCTGGACAAAAAGTTAGTATAAAAGGCAAATAGACAATTAGGCATATAAAAGTATGGGTCTGAAATTTGTTTTTAACCATATGCCAATTCTCTGCACCCAAAAAAGATATCACAAAATGCAAATAGGCAATTAACTAACACACATTACTTACTGTTTTGAGAAATAGGCAGATTAGAATCAATCATTCATGTATTCGCATCATATGTTGAGAAATAGGCAGATTTAAATTTCATACACAAGTATGGGCATCAGAATAAAGTTTAATCACATGCCACAAAAATTTTACTGATTATTTTTATTTCAGTAAATGATGGGCATGAGTAATTATTTTCATCACATGCCAAATTTTTGAAAAAAAACAATTAGTATAAAATGCAGATATGCAACTATCAAACAAACATTACAAGTTTTTTTGGCAAATAGGCATATTACAATCAGCTCACTTTGTTTCATTTCTTCAACTATTGGCATACTGTTATGGTCTTTGTTCACATACCAAATATCTGCAGTGAATATAATGCTTGATATTGCCAATCACTGATTTTGTTTAAACTTTTTATGAAGCATGAAATCTGAAAGAACTCCCATGAAAAGTTTGAGTACGGGGACTCTGCACTCACAGGATGCTGGCATTAGTGACTTTAAAAGTGGTGGACTCATTGTGACTACCTGCTACGACCTTAAGAGGACACAAGTGGTAAGAAATAGAAACTACTTTATTGACTGTTTATTTAAGATCTGAGTTCTTATGTATATTCTATAATTTTTTTTTTGAACACTGTAGGATGGGGAATACTATGTTGCTACTGAAATCTTGGGTTTAGATCTTGATGATGGGTGGTATTATGTGTCGTGCATGTCAGCTGGCTGTAATAAGAAATTAAAAGATGATGGAGGATCACTTGTGTGCACTAAGTGTCATAAGCCATATACTATGGGTACTGTCAGGTATAAGGTGGTCATCATTGCTTTAGACAAGAGTGGAGATGCTCCACTCTTGCTTTGGGACAGAGAAGTTGCTGAGCTGGTTGGAATTCCTGCATGCTTATTGTATCAGAAATACAAGGAGGTAGGTTTAGTAGTACTTACATGAACCTATGTTTTAGTTGTATATATGCATCTACTGTAATGTTCTAATTCAATTCCAAATGGCAGACTGATGTTGAAGTCCCCCCGAGTTGGATGCTATTGTGGGAATGAAGATGTTGTTTAAAGTAGGTTTAAAATTGGCTCTAAAGCGGGGTAAAAATTCTCCTTTCAATGTGTTGAGGCTGTTAAGGGACGAACATTTGGTCCAGACTTATAGTGACAGGTTTGTCGAGCACCAAGAGCAAGATTTAATCTCAAAGATGCTTGAGGAGGAAACAAACAGTGCTGAAAATTCTGAAGTAAGAATGTCTTACTAAACCTAGATCTATGTTTTTCATTTTGTTATTACCTACTACTAAAACTTACTAATCCTTTGTTTTATATACAGGAAGCATCTATAGGTGTAGAGGTTAATAGTCCTGCATCTATGCAGCCCTCTCAACATGAACCTGATGACACTGTGGTCAGCTCCTTAGCAACCAAAAGGTCACTCTTGGATGAGTTTTCCTCATCCAAAAGTCGCAAGAGAACAACAGCCCCAACATCAAGAAGGAGAAGACAACTTGAATGAAATTCTACTGTGGAAAAAACAATTTTTACTATTTTTTGGATGTTAGACAATTTGATACAATGTTTTTGTGACGTGTGGCTGATGGATTTTTAATTTGTTGTCCTACTAATTTAACGGCTTTAGTTTTTTGTTTGCTAAGGTTGAAATGCTTCTTTTTATTTTATATAACTGTGTTATGATCATTTTACATCCCAAATTGACATATCGTATTAGAAAATGTCTTGCTGTTTTCTTCACTTTGATTTCAGGTGATTTTCCAGAAATGTTTGAGAAGGGAAAATCAAGTTGACAAGCATAGGAACAAAGTGTAAGGCCTTAAAATCTAACTACTTCTACGTATTTCTAACATGAACCTATTATCAGTGTTAACAATCATACTTTTTCTTTTCAGGTGGGTTACAAACAAGAAGGATCCACTCACAAGTCATTAGAAAGAAGGAATCTGTGACAAGTTTTGTATATCACTGATCTGTATTTTGTTTTGTAAAGTGTACTAGGTTAAGTAGTATACTTATACTATTTTGTAAAATTGCATGCTTTTTATTCACATGCCAAGTTTCTAATAAAAAAACATTAGTATAAGTGCAAATACGCAATTAAGTAACACACATGATATGCTTTTTGTATTACACAAGTGTGGGCATCAGATTAAACTTTAATCACGTCCCACAACAAATTTTACTGAGCATTTTTATTTCAGTAAACTATGGGCATTAGATTTTTTTTTTCATCATATGCCAATTTCCTGGACAAAAGAAGTTAGTAAAGAATGCAAATATGTAATGAACTAACACACATTAAATATTTTTTTGGCACATAGGCGTATTACAGTCAAGCAAGAAAATTGAGGCAAATAGGCAGATTAGAATACAGATGCATTTGAATTTAGTAAGTATTAACTTCTAAGATTTGGTAAAATGAAAGTAATACAAACTATTAAGCAAAAAAAAAAAAAAAACCACATTTCATAAGTCACTGTTACCGCTATTTCTACTTAAACATGCAAGCAATACATTTAAGTACATGTACGACACATAGGACTACAGTTACAGCTATACCACTTAGAATTTATTTTTATATAGTTAGTAAGCGTACCTTAATGACCTGCTAAACACTAAAGCATTCTCTCCACTACAGATACTTTCCCGTAGCTTTCCAGATTTGCTAAACATCACAAAAACATTCCCAGGTCTACAAATAGTTTCCCATTCGTTTCCAGATCTGCTAATCCTCACCAAAGTTGCCTCAAGACTGCAAAGATTCCCCCGTTGGTATTCCTGTGCAAGTATAGAAGAAATGCTGTAATTCCCCTCAATTAAAGGCAAAAAATTATAGAAATTTACTGACTAGAGTAGTTTGAAAGACTAATCTCCTCTAGTATAGTTTTTATTCCAAAAGGCAAAAACAAGAAAATTTACTATAATTTTCTGCAAATATAAGGGTAAAATTCAACCAAAGTTTGTCTAACTATTTCTTTAATGTGTGCAATGACCAAAATTACAAAATATATACCATCATGGGCATAACAACTACCGAAAATACACTAAATCAACTAAAAAATGTGAACCTAATATGTGAGATGAACGACCTTCAGTTTTATTCGTCTACATGCTCGCTTTTGGATTATTGTATGCTCTCAAATGCCTCTAATTCATCATTTCTTTGCCTATATAAAAAAAATTGAACACATATATTATAGATTCTGTTAATAACTGGAATGAAATGTTTTGGTAGCCAATTATAAGAAGTAGGTAATACCACATACAAGGTGTGTGAAACTAACAGTTGCTCATTGTTATTGAAAAAAACAATGATTTGGATATTAAATACAACAAGTACTTTTTACTATCATTACATAGAATAAAAAACCCTTCAGTTCTAGTTCGGATATCAAAAAAACAAATCAGTTAAATTACTTAAGCAAAGCAGTCATTTAATTTTATAGTTCAGACAAAAGATTATATTTAAAACTTAGACAATTTCATATAGCTTAGTCCAAAAAAAAATTTCAAAACTTCTGTTTCAGCAAAAAAGAATATACAAGCTAATGAGGCAGATTACCAAGTCAACTATTCTAGGCATCAAAAGGAAATCACAGGAAGAAAATAAAGGTATTTTTTGAAACTTATCTTTTTTAGACTTGCAAATCCCGCTAAGCTGAATTCAAAAGTCTGATTTGCTACTTTGTATCTGCTATAGATTGCCTCTCATTACTCCAAAGTATTGTCCTCTCAGTGTATATGCAAAAAAAATTGAACCAGTTAACCAAGTTGTATGTTTAATACTACAATTACATGTTTTACAAAATGTTATAGCAGATAGTAATAGTTCTATAGATTAACAGTAAAACGAAATAGTCATAGTTCTATAGATTAACAGTAAAACGAAATCAACTTATAACCACAACTTATATGAATCATTCAATTCTGGAATTAAAGTGTCAGATATCATATAAGTTTATTAGACAAGATCAATGTTCATGCATAGTCGAAAATAAACTAAAAACGAAAAAACCCTAACTACAATTTTGAAAATAGAACTTTCATCCTAACCTTGAATGAGATCAGTATCTTCAGTCTAGGCAGATTTCAAGCTCAAATCAAGCTTGATTTCACAAATCGAACCTAGAAAGGACAGATTTCAGACGATATAGGCATACACGATTATCGCGATCTAGACGCGATTTGATAACAAATATAAAAATTGTCTGGCCGTGAAGAGATGAAGGCAAAACGAATCATAGTAGGATGATCTAGGTAGAGTATTGACAGAGAGATCGTGAAATTTGGGAAGAGATTTCGAGCTGCCCTGATCTGTTCGGACAGAGAGAGGAGAAGCGGTCAACGCTTCTCTTCATCTCTTATCTCTTCTCAATTATTCCGAAATAGTAAATAATATATATATTATATATATATTATATATATATATATATATATATATATATATATATATATATATTATTTTTTTATGTTGTAATTTCAGCAATTTATTTCATAAGGTTATGTTGTTTTATAGAAATTACAAATTTATGTTCTAAAATATTAAATTAACTTATGTTATGTGTATTTAATTTATAAAATAGATATTTATGATATATAATATTTAATTATATATTTAAACGTGGTTCACACTAAATTGTGGTCCAAGGTACACAATTTTTGGTCCATGGACCACCATGTAATTTGCCTTTTAATGTGTCTTACTGACACTAATTACATGAATATGTTGTATTGTCTTACAAGTGTAAGTGCGTTATGTGTACCAAAATGTGAAATAAATTTTGTAATACGATATTTTATTTTTTATGATAATGTTACTCATTGTCCACACAAATTTGTCCAGGATGATCCACCTGCATAAATTTTAATATAATTTATGCCTTATAATTTTGCCTTTTTCAATTATAAAATTGTGTACACAAAAATTGAAATTAATTATGTGATGTGTAATTAATTGGCAAACTTTCGAATTTTGTTAACTTATTATGTTATGTGTACTTAATTTATAAATTTGCTACTTATGTTATTTTAATACAATGATTACTACACATTATCAGTAAATTGATGGAACAACAAATATTTTGTCTTTTAATTTGAACGTGATTTATATCATTTACAAGTTTATGTGGTTCAATTTCAATTTATTAGGTTATGTGATGTGATATGAATTTACGTAATGTCATAATTTTTATTTTATAATTTGTTATTCTATTTCACAGAGAATACTTGCGCGACTTCATCAGCAACAAGTAATGATTCGCATAATGTAGAGCAACCTACACCATTGCGCCGAACACGTCCTTCAATTGCTTGGTGTTGACTGAAAATATCACACCATGAGTAACATCACAAATGGTAAATCATCTACAATTGAGTGATATACATTATTTGTGAATGTACATATCCTGTTTATTATATTATGACGAATATTATTGTCAAATTTTTTGGTTGTATTAATATTATATAAGCATATTAATGTTTATGAATTACATATGATTACAGTAGGTTCTTCCCAAACACACGTAATTTCTTCCAACCGGCAAGGAATTGTTTTTGAAGTGAAACAAACACAATATCCGCTGTACCTGAGTCCGTGCTTAACTGGTAACGTCGTAGACTAATATGTTATATAATCTTAAAACATTTAAAAGATAGGTATTTGTTAATTTGAATATTGTATTAAATTTAGGTTGTAGATCACCACGTCAAGTTCATATTGGTAAAACAATACATGGTTCGGCAATTGAAGAAGGACATGTAATTCAAAGAGATTTGCTATCAGCCTTTGAAGAGGAGTCTGTCCCTTTACGTCTACAAATTCGCAATGACGTCATACCAGGTAACATTACTAACCAAATATGTTTTTAACAAATTATACTAAACTCAAATTGAACGCTGTCATTCAGTTCATATTCATTTATAGTAATGTTTATATATTCAGATTTAAACATTCCGATTGACGATGAGGAATCTATCCCTTTACGCAGTCCAATGCCAAACCCGTGCATACCAGGTACTCTTACGACCTGTATTTTCGTAAC